CTAGAAAACAACCACAAGAAGCAAAGAAATGAAAACGGAAAACAATCCAAAGGAACTAGAAAACAACAAAGGAAAACAAGAAAACAACCAGGAGAAGCTAGAAAATAGACAATAGAAACACAACCCGGATATTTCAATGGAGCTAAAAAAACAACCAAGAAAACATAGAAAGCAGTTTGAAAACAACCAGAAGAAGCTGGAAATTCCCAGCAGAACTAGAAAGCAACGTTTCTCAGTCTTTCTTCTAAGATTAGTACTACTCTGATGTCGAAGACACCCTTCCCTCTCCATTCCTTACTGTCACTGTGAGATGTTTATTTAACTAAAATTGACCGAAACAAGTTTGTCTTCATCATCATCCTCTAAGCTGCTCCTGGAGGTGCCCACAAACAGACATTTTTTTAATGAAATGTTTGAGATTCTTTTAGCTGAAAATGGATGAGGCAGGTGTAAATTTGTTGTTTCCAACTTTAAAAGTTCTTGTATTGTCTGTGGTTTGGTGTGCAGATGGCCCAGAGCCGAATCCATGTGTGATCTCTGAGTAAACCAGCCTGTCTATCATAGAAATCCATGTAAAGTCCCACAAACACCTCCAACACCTTCCGCGCCAAATGACATTTTCCTGGGTATGAGATCTCTGAGAAGGACAGTTAAAGGGGAACTGCACTGATTTCACACATCAAGGTTCATCTAGTACTGCTCAGGCTGTGAAAACTGGAGGAGCTTCGCCATGTCTGAGAAAGTGACCCTGATGATGTCACAGTGATGTCATCAGGGTCATCAGCTACAGAAAGGTCATTTCACACTGCAGATGTGGAGCTTTGGAAGATGTTGAAGTTTACCAGGCGGGGAGGATCTAATAAAAAAACATGTCGCGTTGCATTGTGGGAAATGTAGGATACAGACAATAATTTTTTTATTCAGGCTCTTGCAGTCAGTGGAGATGTTATATTGAAAATAAGGATTCAAAATGTCCAGATTTTTATGTTGTATTGCTGAGATGTATCAGTTGATGATTCGAATATCAGATATTTTTCTTACATTAAAAAACAAATGTTTAGGTCCGTCAACTTGACAAACTAGAAACAACGGTCGTCTGCTCTCACCGCCTCTCCTGACTAATTCTGGGGAAAAACCCTGAGCACGTCTGCACCAAACATCAGTGAGCATTCACTGTATTTCCCAGGATGCATTGCTGTCACATATCTGGGTCAGATGGTGTACAGCTCTACGCCATATGTCTGTACTGTAGTGAGACCACAGGGAATGGAGGACCAATGTGTGTGTGTGTGTGTGTGTGTGTGTGTGTGCATGTGTGTGTCCAGGACTTTGGGGAATAGGGAGCTGGTTCTCCTGAATGAAGCTCTGTCTGTCTGTCTGCCTGTCTGTCTGCCTGTCTGTCTGCTTTCTCTGTTTCTCTGAAAAATTGAGAACCGAGTCTCCTATCCAACCTCCCCAAAGCTGACTCAACTTATTTTAGTTAGCTAAACCTCAGAACAGACCAGCAAGTGCTCATATATGTGGTTTGCGCTTACAAATGACCTTTTAGTCCTCATTTAAGCCTGAGAACTTTGATGCCAAGTATCCACGTATATAATTTTTCTGAGAACAGTGGCTTCAAAATCATCTGGGACTGTGTGTTAGTTAGTTGTATATTACCAGAAAAATAGAAATGCATAAAATAGCTCTCAAATAACCGTCAAGGCCATAGTGATGGTGTCCTTCTCGTCACAGCATAGAGCGCTGGTTCTCAAACTATGGTAACACAGGCTTCCTCTAGTGGTACTCTTAGGAATTAAACAAAAATTAATACATTTGTTTAAAAACATATAATACCATTAATATACTACACATTTTAACTTTCACATCTGACTCTCTCTCTCTCTGTATGTCTGTCTCTCTCTCTCTCTCTCTCTTACCCCAACTGGTCGAGACAGACGAGAAAGTGTCTTGAGATAACTTCTGTTATGAATTGGCGCTATACAAATAAAATTGAATTGAAATTGAAAAACTACGAGATGTTTTGCATTTAGTTTCAATATCAGCCTGCTTCGTAGTCACGTTCAGGCACCTTATGTCTTATGTCCATGATCAGTTACGAGCTAAACACAAGCTAAAATATGGACCAGCAGTAGCCCTTTTTCACCAGATTGTACTTTTGAGGCAGTACACGTGTAAAAAGTTCGAGAAACACTGACACTTGGACCCTTCATATCAGAATATAAGAAACATTGTCTTCCGTCTTAGTCTTCCATCTTTAATTACTTTATTATTTATTTAAAATATGAACTAATATTAATGTTTCAGTCTTAGAATATCCTGTGACCCTGTCTGCGTATCAAGTCCTGAATGTTGAGAAACAATAAACAATAAACAATAAATGCTCTGTACATAAGGACAGAAATACAAGAACACACACATTGCATCACAAGTGTGTGTCCCTCTCTCCTCATTCCATGAGGCTCACAAGAGTCCAAACTGGGCTCATGGGCCGAAAATAATAACATTAAAAATCATCAGCTCAGAGCTAATCCCACCACGGCCTGTAAACAATTTAATACCGTGGTGATTAGCAGTGATCCTAAACCCTAGACTCCCACCCTCCCTCTCAGTCCTCCCAGGCTACGGCTCCTCTCCCACCCCAGCTTCAACTCGCCATCCCTGGGGGAGGCGGCCAGGCGAGTCCCTGGATTAAGGCCACTCGGTGCTTTGGACCCTCGAGCCCCTGAAAGTTAAACCCCTGGACGCTCGCCACTTCATTTCTCTAAGTGGCATCAGCCTCCTTGTTATGATTGTTAATTAAAGTTGGATTTAATCAAGTGGCTTTTTGGCAAAAAAAAAAAGCCACCATTTTATGTTCTTTTTTTAGTGTGTGAGTTGAGTGGGGTTTTTGGAATTGTGGAGTCTTTCTGTTGATCAGTTTATATCCGTCCTTTTATTTCTGTGTGAGAAAGTGGGATGTTGTGTTTTGGGGGGTAGGGTGCTGATTTTTCAGATGAGCGAGCAGATGTTACACTTTCTCAAGAGGGATTTATGTCAGGATAGGAACACACATACACACACACACACACACACACACACACACACACACTGGGCTGCATGTCATTATGTATGCATTTCAACAGTCAACAACATCTACACACTGTAAAGACAGGAGACAGACCTGGAGAGTAACACGCTATAAACGTTCTGCTTTCAAGGAATCATTTAACTTAAAGCGATGGAATGATGACTGACTGCTCATTGGAGATTTACTCAGTGTTTGTGTAAACTACCTGCTTTCTAGCTTCAAAGGAAGACTACTTAAAGTCTGAAACAAAGTAACACAATCTTCCTCTTTTGCCGCTACAGCTTTACTTGGTGTGGTATGACCAGTAGCTAATGGTGGCTAATGTTAGCTTAATACACAGAAACGTAGATAGCTATGGCGGCATAGCTGACATTAATAAGGCAGTTTGCTGACTTTGCTGCTTATCACTGTATTTTTACAAGAAAACATTTAAATGGTTATGTCACTTAAGTAAAACAGGAAGTAAACACACCGTACCTCACCAGGAGACGTGTTTGTTATTGGTGTCCTGCTTATTGTCCCATTCTTGTGGGCTCTTGAAAGGGTACTGCACTGATTCAACACTGCACTCCTATAACATTATTGGACTCCTCATGGAATATGTAGCCGCTATTGTAGCCTTGAGCCGCTAGCCTCATGAGGAGTGGGCTACAAGTGATGTCACTTGAGGCACTTGTACAAGTACAAGTTTTTTTACATATGTAGTAGTGCTCCCAAACACCTGTAAACAGACTTTGATGTGTAGATTGGGCTGTATATTGGCAATAATCTGGCAACACTATATGTATCACGATGCAGGGGTTATGATTTGATATATTGCAATACTATAAGCAAGGTATATATTGCAATTTGCAATAAATAGTTAAAAAAAACACTTTACTTGTTCATGCAACCATAACAGTGGATATTGCATTTGTATTTAGTCTCTTTAACATCTAGCATCATAGCCCTCAGTTTATGTTTACAACACTGCTATCTAGCGGCTGGGGCTGCAAATACAAAAATCAATAGTGTTTTTGAGAAACGATACAATATCACAAAACAAAATATCGCAATACAATACTTTTTGATATTTTCTTACACCCCTATGTGTAGAGTGACATAGTTACTTGTCTTCATTTGCCTTCGAAACCCAGCGCATCCACTGCCATTATTTAATTTAAAAAAAAATTCTTAAAACAATAAAATACAAAAGTGCATATAATATACACAGCAACAAGCTTTACAGTGAACACAGTACATTAGTCCTTTCTCAGAAAATAACATTTTAGCACAGGATCCTAGATTTTAGCAAACACACTGCCTCTATAAAATCTCAGTCTCTCCAGATGTAATGTGTTCAACCATTTCTCTCAATGACAGAAGGTACGGAGTCCATTTTCCACACTAGCAAAATTACCTTTTTTGCAATCACCATTCCAAACAAAACAAACTTTTTTTTTTTTCAGACTTACTGGCAAAAGATAATGAGCTAGTTGCTCCAAGAACGGCTTAGCAGCAGATCAGGTTCCTACTGCTTCCCAAAAGCCTAAGAAACAAAAAGAAATGCTTTTTTCAATATGTGTGAAGTGTAGTCCAGAAACAATGTGTTGGATTACTGATCATAAAGTAACATAGACTGCATGCAGGTGAGACATCAGGGAAATAGCTGTACAACTTTTCCCTGGAGTAATAATCCACATTCAGTTCGTCCACCCATGCCCAAATCCAGTTAACACTGATGCCAAATGTATCCTAAAACCCAACAATGCCATGGCTCATTGGTTTGCAATATTGCCCACAATGATCTAGCATGTCCAGAAATATGTGCTAGCTACTATGGTCCAAACTGTATGGTCAATTCTGATGTCATATCACCACTTACCTGGTGCATCTGCTGCTCCCGGCTAACACTGTTTTGGGAATATGTTATTGTGTTCACCTCTTTCAGCAATCGCCCGAGTCCTATTCCTCCCAATCACCCCTTAGTCCTCACACCAAAGAAGAGGCAGAGCAGGCCTGGAGAGCCAGTCACAAGAAGCCGTCTGCAGGCCTGTCCCGCAGTTCAAACCTGCACAGAGCCGGCAGCATCAAAGACCTGATCAGTAAATTCTCTGGTCAGGATTACGTCTCTTCTTCCGGATCCCCAAACAGCCCTACTTCTGGAGCAGGACGAGTCCTAAAGTTTGTTTCCATGGAGGCTCTCAAGTCTCCGACGTCCAAGTCGAGTCCATCCACACCAACCAGTGTCGGACAAGAAGAGAGTCCAGTTCCCTGCATCACTGTGACCCCTCCGTTCAGGGAAAACAGTCAGAACGGGGCGCAACCAGCTCAGAAAGATGCTAAAACTAGTCAGATCACTGCAAGAATGGATTGTCCAGTAGGAGGCAGCGCTGAGAAGACCAATTCAAAGGCAAAACAAAACAAAACGCAAACTACACACTCTGGTAGAGACTCGGTGGCTGACTCCGGCATGGGATCGGTAAGCAAAAAGAAAAAAAGTCCCAACCGACCATTCTGAAGTCCTTGCATGAGTTGAAAAACTTCTCTGCGTGAAGATGGCACGACAGCATGGCACTGCAGCTTTTTCAAACGCATGATCACTGCGCCGTTCTCAATCCGCATGACGACTCCAAAGCATGAAACCGTGGCAAGATTCTAAAGCACATGCTCTTCAATCGTACTAATCAAAATGGCTTAAAACGCACTGACAGATTTAACTCTCACTCTTCTCTTTGATTCTCTTCCTGTAAATGTTGCCATTTTTGTCTTTGGTCGAAAATAATAACTTTCACACTGCGACTGTGTTGATTCTTACTGCATGAAAGTGATTTTTTGTGCGTTGTTGCCTTCTGTTTGCTTGAGTTTCTAATTTGCTTGGTGAGGAACAGCAGTCCAGCGGCTTATTGTGGCTTATTATCCACAGTACGTGCAAAGGTGTAACACAGTCATTATTTTACAACTCACAAGAAAGTCATAGTTAAATGATTTAGCTATGTTTTAATAAAGTTTCCTGAAGTTAAATCATTTTTCAATCATTGTAATTTTTTTCTTTTTTCACTTAAAAATACCCTTCTGTAATTTCATATGTGATCTTTTTTTCTTTTTGTACTATATTTTCTCTCTGCTTTCGATCACTGGCACCACCAGCACATGCTCAGTGAATTCATCCTTATCGCTTCTAAACGTTTGTGTAGCTTGGTTTATTAGTGCATTTACTTAACTACTGCTATACCACTCTCTTTCTCCTCCAGGAGTCTGAATTCGATTCGAACAAGCAGCCAGACAGCCCGTCAGAGGACGAGCCCTCCACACCACGGACCGTGCCGACCAGCCAGAACCCAAAATATCAGCTTTTCCTCAACAACGAGATGAGGACCAATGGGGTGAGCGGCAGGGATGCAGATGGTCCGGGAAGCGGTGGGTCGGTGGGGGAGAACGGCCCCAGGCTGGCCCGATCGGAGAGCAACCGGCTGGGGACGAACCACTACCGAGGGTCCCTGGAGTCCCTGGCCTCGCGGGACTGGGACACTATGTCTGAAAGGGTGGGTGAGGTGGACCAGGGACTGTGTTTGTGTGTGATACAGATCAGGGAGATCAGATGCTATTTTACAGCTGGATGTCTGTGATTCTAGACGGTTATTAAACAGTGCCATCTCCTGGACAAAACACAGCTTTAAGGCCTCTCAGTGCACTCACACTGCAAAAAGCTCCATCTTTTTATTATTGCTGAAACCTAAAAGTTTTATTTTCTTGAAAAAAATGAATAAATCTGTATAATAACTTTCATTATCCCCATTCAGTAATCTTATTCTGTCATGTTCCAAAAAAAATCTTAAAACAAGTTGGTTTGTATTAGAAATGATATCAGTGGACTGGCAGAATTATTTAAAAATACTTTTAGGACTCAATAATAAACAATAAATAAAGATATTTGGTAATGTTGAGACTTTTGGTGTAGTTATTACAAACTTTGTCAATACACAAGTTTTTCACTGTTGTCAGGTCTATACCATGTTCTGAGATGTCAAAAGTCTCAGGACTCCAAACAAGTTCAAGTTAATTTGAGAACTCTCTAATTAAAAATTGCACTTTTTATTAAGCATTTAAAGATGACATGGTTAACATACAGCAATACAGCAAATGACCCAAAATAGAAATCTGTCCTGTGTTAGTGCATCTAGAATGTATTTCCAACTGCTCTCCCTCTGCTATAATGTAACGCACATTTACATGTCATTTACAGATTATAATGTCATAATCCGTTTAAAATGTTAAAGTGATAAATGTCTTATGCAGCATTTGTAAAATACACTTTTTCCTTTCCAGTCATTGAACAGCGCCCTCTACAGGACGATACACAGACTTAAGGTTTCTTACTGGCCATCTTAGTTACCTGAGTCTTTCCACAAGATTCAGTTATACCAGAGTGTATCAACCTGTTCTGGCTCTTCACCCTGTTTTTAAATACAATAACTATAAATCAACACCCTCAACAATAGAATATTTGTTTAATTAAATTATGGTTGAGAAACTCTGAATTATACAGTGACACAATCCCTTCATCCTGCATCACATCATATCTAATCAATATAGACACCTTAAGCACTGACTGTCATATATGTGCATCTGATAAGCTGTCTTTCAACAGTAATTTAGCACAAATAATCATTTGTAACGAGCCAATGATATCATCATGCTGTCATATATTAGTGTAATCTATTAGTGTAATTACTAATCTCCTACTAGCAATACAATTGTGGCTGTTTTTGTATTAATCATGCTTTTTATTTGTTATTTAATTTGATTTAAATCATATTTGAATATGAATTTAGAAAACTTCAGTGTTAAATGGATTACATTTGCAGGACTGTTGCCCACAACATAGTCTTTGCTTCTGTTCCTTTCTATTTAATATTGAAGTAAAAGTTCATGCAAACCAACAACCGTGGCTAGATCAACACGTACTGCACTGTGACAGTTGACTGTTGTTTGCCATGTCTCTCTCTCCTTTTGTTATTGATTGGAGGTATAAAAACCTAAAAACTCTGTTTGTTTGTTTACAGTTTGGTAATGTTGACAGCCCTTCCAGGGTGTTCAACAGTCCGTATGCCACGGCCACCTCCATGGATTACAACCCCATGCACCGAATGTCTGAGTTCAAGGTTTGTAATTTGGTTGGAAAACTGTTTCTTATTTCTATATCATAGAGTGTTTTAAGTTTTCGAAACACTCTTAATGTCACATAAACATGATAAATTGATTTTAAACATTTGAGTTTATTAATGAAACCCTTGGAAAGTCTTAATGAAACCAATGTTCTGTCTAAAAGTTTCTAACATTAACTAAGAAAATAGCGAGACTGATGCAGGGTTGTAAACATAAACGGATGCACTGGGGCCTGTGGGATTGGGGGGGCCATACAAAGAGCGGTATAATAGTCAGTAGCAATCTATAACAAAAAAATATACTTCTACATAAACTATATAAACTTTAAAAAGAATTCATTTAAATCTATTGATTAAATCGGTCTTTTTCTTTGGTATTTGTGTCGTATACAGAGCAATGATTGCTGGGTAATATGTATATGTAATATGTGTGTTGATATCCGGGTTCAGGGTGGACTGTCCCCTGCCACCTCAGAGATGAACCTGTACAGCTTCAACAGTCGCAGCACCAGTCCAGTGGGCATGGGCATGGGCACTCCCACCCTCAGCCCTCGCCCCCGCTTCTCCGCCTACGACACCCTGGTGAGGAGGAGGACCGAGATCAACACCCCTGTAAGTCTACTACACTACTACTACTCTAAATACACACACTGATAACACACACTCCACCATCACGTCCACTCTGTTTAATGTTATTATATATAATATCCCTGTTCATATGCTACAGGTGGTGCCCTCCCACACCCACTACAGCATGCGCTCTGCCACTCTGGGAGCCCCCAATAAAAAAGACTACATAGAGGAGTTGACCAAGCAGCTGGACGCCTGCCAAAAGGTAGACCCGGTCAGATGCATTATGGGATTCAAACACACGTTGTTCTGCTGTAAGAATAAACAGTGTTTTAGCTGAGGTCTTGGGCCAGAATGTCCTCTAGGTGAAGCTGCAGCATCGAGAGGTTTTGGGATTTGAACCCATGCAGTCACAGCTGTTGTTATTCTAGAAAAGAAAACATTTTGATGGTGCGTTTATGTTCTCTCCAGCGTAACCAGTTCCTGGAAGCAGAGAGTGTGGAGATGGAGAAGGAGAGGAACCAGATACGGTCAGACAAGATTTTTCTTTCCATCTTATTCTTTTCCTGTTTGCTTGCTTTGTCTTCTGTGCTTTCTATTTTGGTCTCATTTTCTCTTTCTTTTGAAACTGCCTTAATGAATTACTTAACAAAAGCTGAGAATTTGTACATATATGTTTATAAAATGTAGATTTTTGTTAAATTAATCCAACACATTTAAACAACACTGTACCCTTTCCTGTACATTCTCAGAAATAATTGAATACTGACCTCCACTGGTTGAATTTCCCACGTCCCTGCAGTGAGGAAACTGCAGTCGGCTATCTACCAGCAAAATGTCTTCTCTCAGCCTGCCTATCCATTTTATCTGTTTGTTTCGTAAAATTAGCTTCTGTCCAAGTCCATACCTCAAAGGAATCAAGTGTTTCTGTGTTTGGCCAAGTGCTATTAGTGTAATTTAAATACACATAGTACACCAACATAGTACACTATTTAACAATTAAATCCATGTAATGTGTGATTTAAAGGCAGCTTAGCCACACAAAATCACATGAAATCCAATAGAGTCAAAAAATGTGATGGCAGCTACTGATCTGAAGTTAGCTAAGCTAGCTGCCTTTAGCAGGAGTTCAGCTTTTTCGTCCTAATTCAGAACTAAGCACCTTATTTAGATGTCACTCTTTAAATGTACCTTGAAGTTCTTCTTTTAAGAGTAACTTTACTACTTTACCAAAAGCATTTCTTCTGAAATCTGAAGCCTTTTTGCACCTGTGACCACGCCCACAAGTGATGTCACACCTGACCACACCTTCAGCACGCTTCTGCTTAACATGCTTTTTTTTTGACAGTGTTTTCTTCTTATCGATCTATTAGCTCTTTGGTTGTTTTCTGATGCAGGACGAGGCTGTTTACCAGAGACTGAAGGCTCTGTTAATATAGCTTGTGTTCAGCTCTTCAAAGTTTAGATCTTAAATAATAAAGTTTCATTTAGTTTTCCTCACAGAAATGAACGAAATGTTTTCTTACACCCTTGTCCCCCCCTGTGAAGGTTTGAGATGCGCGGTCTGCTGGTGAACAACGAGGACCTGCTGAGGACCAACACTCAGCTGACCAACGAGCTGAAGAGGATGAGAGAGCAGATGATAGAGATGGAGAGAGAGAAACAGTCCATAGGCGAGAGAGTCAGAGAGATGGAGGTGTGAGCAGATGGATGGATGGATGGATGGCTAGAATGATACTGTAGTTATCCATGTGTTTGCAGGATTAACTGTTTTCTTGTACTGTGCAGATTGAGGTGAAGGAGGCCCGGAACGTGATGGTGGAGGCAAACACTCAGGAGTACGCCTTCAATTTTCTGGAGCAGTCGCTCAAAAACAGGATCAAGGATGCTGAGGTACACTGAGTTACACACAGCATATACTGAAGTCAAAAACTAGGATGGATGGATGTGCAGATAGTCTGGAATTTGTATGTTTTACACTAATTTACTGACTTTTGATAATAAACAAGCACTCCAAAACATCGAGCCAAGATAAACAGCCCCTCGTTTTTAGATTTCAGCTCATCCAGTGCGTTCTTGTTAATGATCCATTTAGCTTTAACCCATAAATGAATACTTTTCATTTGTTTGGAAACTAACATTTCGGTCCCTCTGGACCTTCGTCAGCAGTATTTATTACAGTTATTGTTCACAGTACAATAGTTCCCATTGATTCCAGACAAAGCTGAGGCCTTTAAGGACCACACAGTAATAATAACTGCACAACAACACGGAACAATCTGAGATGGTCATACATATAGGTGGAATACGGACAGATAGTGTTCATATGCAGAACATTACAGACTGGATCTCTGATACCGGTATACACATCTGGATACAGGTATATATATATATATATAAACTCTACATGTCTGCCGTCCATTTTCAAAAGCATAAGTCAGTTTTTAAAGACTTCCTTCTTCCAGGCAGCCATTTGTGTATTTTAATCTGAATGATAATGAACTAGCACATATGTGTAACTCACTGATAATCAGCAAGTAACCATCAGATAATCCACTGCAGCCTGGTTTTATTTGTCAGCATGGGAATGCAGTTGTGAGCATGGACCGTTTTCAAAACTCTTCCTCACTGGTGAGGAAGCAGAGCTCTGAACTGTGTGTGTGTGTGTGTGTGTGTGTGTGTGTGTGTGTGTGTGTGTGTGTGTGTGTGTTCAGGAGAACCTGGAGAAGCAAACGCAGCACACCAAGACTCTGTCTGAGAAGTTGTGGCTGACAGAGAGACAGCTGGAGGAGCTGGAGGTCAACAGAGGAACCAGAGACAAGAAGACATCTGAACTCAACAGCACCATACTCAGGCTGGAGACGGAGGTACGGAGACAGAGACGGTTCCTTTTTTCCGGGAACTTTCCTGAAACGTTCCCTGTAATTTGGTGCTGTTTATAGAAAAAGTAGAAACAAAGACAGATATTTTAGTTTAGAGTTTTAGATTCCAATGAAATGGAACTGCTTCAATCTGAATGTAGGGCTGTAACCAATGTCACTTTTTAACATTCAAAGCTTCTGTTTTGATTTTCAAACAAATCTTTGAATGTTTGTTCATGTCATCACCCTAGAAAAAATGTAAAAATCCTAAATTTGAATACTTCATCACATTAGTCTCTTTTATTAAGTAGTAGTAGTAAAGGCAGATTGAGTAGTATTTGTTGATTGCTGTTTGTTAACGCACCGTTCAAAGTTGGAGTTCAAGAGCGAGAGAGAGTGCTGGTGGACCCAGGTTGAGAGTAAGTGAAGTGAAGGAGCGTCATTAAATAGAACAAAGCAGTGAATCAGAGAAATAAAGAGTTATTTTCTGATTGACATAATCTGCAGCTGCTGTTTCACTACCAAATGGAGGTGTACCAGTTCAACAGTTTCCATCTTTCTTCTAAATTGCACCATGTTACATCATCCTTTCCACAAACCTTCTATGTGTCATTGGACTGTAGATAATAAGAAAATAAAGCCATTTAATTTAATAAAACTAAAGCACTAAATTCATTCTTGTATCAAAGGCATTTTGAAATTCTTGTTTCTTGTCTAGTTGTTGTTCATGTTTCCTTAATAATGTGAAATGTCAGTAAAAACATAAACAGAAGAAATGTCAAACTGTAGTTTGACCAACCAGTTCAATTCCTGGGAATTAAAAAGAGATCCAAAGTAGATGATTTACAAGTACATTCTCTTTAAAATGGACTGAATGTAAATAAAGTGAAAAAATTAAAGGAAGTTTGCATATTTATTTACTTATATAAACAAAATATGAATATGAGCTCATCTCTCCAGGACAGTTTCTAATTGGTAGTTGTTATGTACTCACAGCCTTTAAACAATCAGCAGCACCATAGCAACTGTGTTTGGTATCAGCTTCAACACTGATGTCAGAACTGCCTCTAGTCACCAAACAGAGGCAGATAAAAGTCCAAAATATCAACCTGAGCTAAGCACAGATGTGTGTATGTGTATAGTAAATGTGTGTGTGTGTGTGTGTGTGTGTTTGCAGCTGGGCGAGGCCCTGCAGGTGTCCACACAGGCTACAGCAGAGCTGAACCTGCAGCAGAAGCTGCGTGAGGACAGCACGCTGAGGGTGGAGGAGCTGGAGGAGTCTCTGCTGGAGAAGGAGCAGGAGCTGCAGAGACTGCAGGCCCTCGTCAACAGACTGCAGGGAGAGGTGAGCCCACATGTCCAGTAACAGAATTCCCATCAGCCTCAGCTGTACTTTAAGGGGTTTTATGTTGTTGCATAGATGAAACAAACTTAAAAGATAAAGCTGCTGGTTTTTGATAATAGCTGAGAACCACTCTTGAACGAACGCAGCCTCAGGATGTGTGTTTTTGCGTGTGTGTGCAGGTCTCTGGTAAGCTGATTGATAAGGAGCAGACGCTGGAGGAGGAGATCCAGCTGAGGGAGAAGATACAGCTGCAGTGTAAGCAGGCGGAGAGGATGGTGGACGACCTCCACATGGAGCTGCAGACCGCCAACCAGGCCAAAGAAGACCTGATCAAACAAGTCAAACAGGCTCAGGTACTGGCGTCAGTCATTTGATAGTTTCAATGGCAAGTACATTAATACACCATGATTCCCATGCATTTACATAAGAACATCATGTAGAAGAAATAAAAACAGAGGAATTGGGGTTTTCTGGTGCTTTAAGACAAAAAAGAAAGCTCAAGTTCATATAAAATAAATTATTACACCTATTTAATATCTAACTGGTATCAGATTTATTGGATAAGGCTGGTAAGATTTTTTTCTCCATATCCCATGAAATGATGAAAACCAACAATGTGTTAATCTATCTCTCAATACTCTCTGACTTCCTGTCTGTGGCTCTCAGCCCACTGGTTCCTCCTGAGGATGTGAATCTTTAGAAACAGCTCAGATAAATATACGCTCACATGCTGCTCACTCTAGTTTTTAACCATCTTTACTCTAACAGGAGGAAATGTCTGTAGTCTGTAGAATCGACCTGAGTGGGATTTCAGGCTGCTAACCGAGCTGACAGTAATAAAAAAGGTTCACACACCTTCCTTTTTTATTTGGGATGAATTAAAAATAAACAAATAAAATATTGTAATAATGTTTCATCCTTGGAGCGAAGTCTATTTCCAGCTGTAGATCAGACAGTATCCACTGTGTGTTTGCGTACGTGACCTAATGATTCAAACAGAGATGTCCACTTGAATTAATCAGTCATGCAAACCATCAGAGTTTGGGGTTAATGAGGCATTAATTATGCAAATCCTGTTTAGCAATCAACTGTTAATTCCATAATCCCAAATATTCATCATGTCGCTATTTCTGAAGATACTTAATCTGTCCCATTTCTAAACAGCCTGAATGTTCTGCTGATGAGACACGAAGAGTGACCTCAGATCAGCCTGAGAAAAGTTTAGTTCAGTTGTTTGTGGATGATGACGTATTCTTTCGGAACTCTCTCTCAGGAGAAGATGATCGACCTGGAGAGCGACCTGGAGGAGCTGCACGACAGCGAGCAGAGATGGGCCGCCAAGCACAAGAGAGCCATCGAACAGGTAAACACACAGGAGACAGGAAGTGAGTTAACTGAGGATATTTAGCCAGTTACAGGATTTTAAAAGCACTGACGGACAATTCCAACGTCCATTATACTGATGAGACTGACTGTACTGAGACGTGTCTATGTCTGCTGTCAGACTGAGCAGCTGCAGCTGAAGCTGATCCAGGAGAAAGACCTCAACGACCTGCTGGAGACTGACAAGGCTGCCATGGAGAGACAGGTAAGTGTGTGTGTGTGTGTGTGTGTGTGTGTGTGTGTGTGTGTGTGTGTGTTTGAAGATTTATTAACTGGTATAAATTTTTTTAGCATAACAAAGAAACATTTTTGATTTCTTTAGGAACTGTGAGGAAATGTGGGACACACATTTTACAGTGCAAAAAGCAACTTGTCAGCGCCCTCTGGTGGACACACTCTGTAATGGAAACTAAACATATCTGACATTTCTGTACTGCAGGTTCTAAAGAGGATTATTAGCTGACATGTAATCAATCAGATACATCCTAATGCATTGCCAAAAAGGAGGAAAAGACACATTCAGACCTCATCTCTAATAGAAATCTCTGTCTGTCTGTCTGTCTGTCTGTCTGTCTGTCTGTCTGTCTCTGTAGCTGCGTGAGCTGCGTCTGGAGGTGGAGGAGCTTCACAGCTCCAGAGTTCAGGAGGACGTTATCTCCAGGACAGAGAGCAGAGTCAAAGAGCTGGAGAACACTCTGAGGACCGAGGAGAGGTCAGTCACCAACCTCTGGTAGAACACGTCTGCGGTGTATTATGTCACTGAGCGCTTTCTGAATGTTCCTGATAGAGATATATCTGTATCAGGGGTCTCAAACTCAAACTGTCTTGGTGTATCAAAGAATGGTTAGCTGTGATATAAACAACATACAGCCACGGCAGTACACACAGAAACATGCACACACACAGGTAGTGTGTGGTCCTGTTGTCTGATGTGTTTGTGTTTTGTGGTTCAGGAACAAAGCAGTTCTGACAAACACCATCAGCAAACTGGAGAGGAGGATCAACGAGCTAAGCGACCAGATGGAAGAGGAACACAGGATAGCTACCGAACAGAAAGACCTGGTAACACACACACGCACACACACACACACACACACACACACACACACACACACACACACACACTCTCTCCTTCTCCACGTGGAGGCAGTATTACAAAATAGTCCCTGTACTAATATGCATTTATAGTTGATGTATTTTATAGAGAGGACTTGTTAAACTGTGCAGGTACAGAAGCATGTACGCTCGCACCTTGAGGTGTTTCTGTGTCGCGTTTCAATGTGTCGGTCTGGTCCTGTGTGTCCAAACTAAGCGCTGCTCTGTGATTGGTCTTCCAGATGACCCAGAGGATCCGCACCCTGAAGCGTCAGGTGAATGAGGTGGAGGAGGAGGCGAGCAGGAAGGAGGCGCAGTACCGCCACACCCAGAGAGAGCTGGCCGAGGAGAGGGAGACAAGCAGCCGGCTGCAGAGACAGCTGCTCGACCAGCACATGCAGACAAAGTACGCAGAGTCTAATCACACACACACACACACACACACACACACACTCAAACACTCACCTCCTGCTGATGTAAACTAGCTGTGATCCTCATAGACTGGATTTTAGTGATCATTTATGTGTAACATAGTGTGAAGCATCAGTATGGTTGCTATGGTTACCAGTGGTTAAACTTTCGTTCAAATGTCCAAACCGGCAAGTTGATCTGAAATTGGTGTTTTTTATTTGCGGTGGCATAAAGGAACTTGCAGATCGGTTTCCTTGAACACAGAGGTGCAAATACGCGTACAGTAACGCTGTCACCGTCTCTCTCACAGGCGTAAGGAGACTCTGAACATTCGTCAGACTCTGGACAACCTGAGGCTGGACCTGAGTGTCGACGATGAGGACGACGATCAGCTGCTGCAGCAACAGACCGCCAGCGTCACCAAAGTCTAAACCCTCACACTCCCTCTCTCCCGTCCTACAAAACATAAAGCATCTTCACACTGACAGCGTCAGGGTGCGTCCACATGTGACCAAGCTGCCACTTTATTACAGCCAGGAGGCATTCAGTCCATTCTATTGTGATCAACACTCAACTTCTCAGGAAAAAAAACAGTATTGGCTGAGAATGAGGAGTTCATATTCATCATCAGGAGTTTCAGCTATGGAGGGAAATGGCTAGACAGGAAAAAAGAAGTGTTTTTTTCCCAGCAGGATTTTTTCTTTTGTCACTGTCGGCTCCATTTTGCTAGAAGTTGCAAATGTTGATGAACACTTTTTAGTTGTTACAGATTGTATTTCCCAGTAAGCTCCTAGGAAGTGTCCTGGAAAGAACTGTGTAATCTGGTACTAATTACAGGAAAAATACAGACAAAATCATTCATTTTCCGTGAAAAGATTTTCTCCATTTAAACACGTGTATATAAATCCATAATGAATTTATTACTGGAAACTTTATTCTCCATATATGTTGAATTGTAAACCTGCTGATAGACCAGTTTGACACTCTGACTAAAAACACCAGATTTTTTTCTACCATTAGTATCAAATGACCTATTTCTTTGCAGGAAACCTCTGATGAAATTGTTAGGAAATTACTGCCCTTACAGATGTATTGCCCTCTCCTGGTGGCCAGCCGGAATTACAACAGTAATCCATTCATAAACACTCACAAAGAGCAGTGTAGACACAGCCTCACTGTCAGTGCGACTGACTTGGACGCACAATGAAGACATGTTTAACATCATCTTTTCTCCTTTTCTATTACATAGAATATTAAATAGAATCGTGCCTTGGTAATGAATGCGCAGGAGCTTGGTGCAGAGAGACATAAAGGGAAAGCTTGCTGTGGACAATAATGGCATACAGTGATAAGGATTTGATAAAGATGCCTTGTTGTTTTTAATCTGTTCTCGCTACAACAAACCGAATGAGCTTTACACAGCCAGAAGTACATTCTGGAGAGAGAAATTTCTACAATATCCAGTTGCACAAAAGCTTTATGGACTTAAACTCTGACCGACTTAAGTTTGATGACATTTAGAACGGGACTTATTTCAGTTGTTTTTTTTAAATATATTTTTGGAAAAAGTTCAAACTCTAAGAATCAGCGGTTCCTTGTAAATGTGACAAACTTCTCAGATTTTGCGTTGTTTGTTTTTATTTGTTGGAGCTTTGCTGATTTCCCCTGTTAGAAGCTGTGTAGTTTAACACATTCACCTGCAGTATTTGAACATATTCCACACTGGTTGCTGACACATTACTGACTGCAGAGGAGGGACCTTTGGATGTGATTGTAGCTGTTTTTGATTCACACACAATTACGAGATTATTTATATTGAACTTTGTTTATGTTGTTTTTATGATTTGAAGATTATTGAACTTTCTGTGTTTGCAATTGCTTGCGGGGCAAAGAAATGATTGTAGAGAATGACATTCTTTTGTATTATTTTAGAGATGTGTTTTGTTAAAGGGGTTTACCGCTGTACTGATACTTGCTGTGCTTCCCACATACAGTATCTGGTTAGGAAAAAAAAAAAAATCTCACTACACACTTGGCATTAACTCTGCGTCTTTATTAATTTTATCAAAATTCACTAATGTCACAAAAATAAAAAAGTTTTAAAATGTTTAAAAACAGCTGAGACGTTTTAGTTCTCATAAGTAGAATAAATGTCTGAGTACAGTTTGGATCCAAGATGTGTGTTAATGCAACTTGTGGAAGAGGAAAAAAAGTAGAATATTAATTAGAAACACAGTTTATATGCTATGTGGTTTTCTGTAGCATCTGTTTAATGTGTTAATGTGTGTTTTCTTTTCCCTTTAAAAGAAAACTAAGCGCACAGACAGAAACAAACAGGGCTCGGTTGTTGGTTTCATTCTCAGATACTGACTGTGGCCAAAAAGTTTGCCAATACTTTAATTTGAAAGAACGCTCACTTCCTGAGCAGTGAGTACGTTGAACCCAGGCAACCGTCCACGCTCCCTGCTTGAAGGATGTCTGTCGTGAACGCATAAAGCTAATACTCAGATACAGTTTGGATTCTGTTATGTTTACATTTGTTGGTGTCTTTTGCTTTTTTGGAAACAGGAGTCTAAATCATATTTCAGCTGTTGGGAATGTAAATGCTACACCGTGTCACTAGTGTTTTATTTTTAATTTTTAAAATTGTATCTTTTCTCACAACGAAAGAAAGCAAGGGTGTCTACACATATGTAAAAAGAAATTGAACACACTGACTATTTTTGTAACTACCTTCATTCTACCGGTTCTGCTGTTCTCGGGTATTTATTTTTGTTTTTCCCATTCTCTCTTTTGGTGAGAAGTTTCTTAGTACAAAATGCAAATAAAGTCTTCTCCACTGTGAATTCTGGGTAACGTTTGTTGGTTTTTTGTGAGGATCCGTTTTACAAGCAATCAATATTTGAAACTATTTTGCCTTCATGTGTGATTTTGGATTCTCCTCCAAATGGAGATAAAAACCAGCACATAAAAGTGCTAATTTACACATAGAGCCCCTATTTGGTACCAGGAGTATAGCGCATTACTTTTTCTGCCCAGAGAATTCAACAGACACACAACACAATTACAATTACAACAACATAAAAACTTGTAAACAAGGCCCTTTAATTGTCAGTTTTCCTATTAGGTGTTTATATTTCTTGCGAAGAAAGTTCCCTGTACTACACGCATTACGACACAGTTACAAATTATAAACAAAAAGAAAATGAATAATATATAATATATGAAACACGGGCCAGCAGGGTCTTGAATCAAAGTTACACAGCGTAGCCAAGTCCTCCGGACAAGTAAATTTACATACAGCAACACACAGCAGCTCCAGAAATAGTCACATTAACTAAAAATAACAAGTGGCTTCAAATGAGGCTGAATGTTCACACACTGCTAACAACAAGTAGCATTATTATTTATTTATTATTTGCACATACACTATACATTTGTATGTAACTACAACTGATTTTATAGGTAATAGAACAATGTGCAGGAGAGGTTTGAAACCAAAAATGGCTTGTGAAGAAAGCATTGGCATACTACTTCCTGTAACCGAGCAGCCTGCTTGACACTAGCACACTACTAAACTGCACCGCTATGCTGCTATAAACATCCCCTCAGTAAGTGACAAAGTAGGTTACGTTGAGAATTTATCTTTCACTAAATCCAAAAAAATATGGAGTCTAATATTTCCCTGTCTTTTCAAACAGCCAGTGCCACACATGGCAATAATATGGAACAGAGAAAAAAATGAGTAAAGGAGGTCCAAGGATTGAGCCTTGAGGAGCACCACAGGTCATAGAAGCAAAAGAAGACCTTGTCAGCAATTAATACAAAGAACTTGTGATATGATATGTAATAAGAAAACCACCACTGTACTCCAGCAGACATATTCTTGTAATTTGTGTCCTGTGATAGTGCTAGAGAAGAGGTCAGGAGATTTCTTGCTCAGGAACAAAGAGTCCATGTCCAAAAATAAGATGCTTTAAAATCTACATGTTACTTTGTTATAAGAACATTGCAATAAACCTCTATGCCTGCCACCAGGTCAGATTTGGTCGGATTCCCCTTGAAATAAATGAAATGAGGAGGTGGTAAAATTACCTCTCTTGTTGACAGGGGCGCCAGAATCAACACAAACACCTTAATTATATGACTCGAATGAAATCATCATGGTGTCCATGTTTCTCGCTACAACCAGTGTAAACACACACTTGCCAAGCTGGGGATTTCCAGCTTCTAACTCTGGTGGGAACATAGTGAGATTTCTGGACACGGCATTCACAACAAAACCTGAGCAAATGGCTGTTTATTTGAATCAATGAGCCTGGTGCCACTAACCAGCTGTGTCCACACACAAACAGTGAAATGGTGCAGTGAACAACAACAAACACAACAGATCCCAAAGTTATTATAGTACTAAGTCATCTTTAATCAGCTGTCAGATCTCACAATGCCTGAACAAAATTTACTGCAAAGTCGATCAATCATCATCTATAACAAACGCTTCGGCAAGATAAAATGCAGACAACTGACTCTACAAAGACACTGGTCAAAACATACATGTTAAGTTCCAGTTTATAACACTTTCACAACCAAAAAGCCAACTTTTTTTAAACATTTGAATTAGGGGGCAAATGTATCTTTTTACTTAAACTCAACACTTCAGCATCTATATCAAAAACAACAGAAGTATTAAATTCACACCTCAGGAAATGTGACAAAAGATGCCGAATCAGTGTTTTAAGCAATTTAGCAAAAAGTGTTTTTTCCGAGCAGTTTTTGTTTGGTTTGTATTCAGCAGGCGCCAGATGGCCGGGGTTTTGCCGCCAGATGATTTTGTTTAAGGTCTGATAGCCATTGCCTCAGCGGGGCGTTCCTGTCCTGAAGGTACAGTGACAAGATTCTTTTTCACTGATAGCAAAAGGGTTTAGTATTTCAGAGACTTCCCTGTTTGATAGCAAGCTTTAGCTGTCTAATGTTAGCTTAAATGCTATACTATTACCTCTAGCAATTTTTGTGCTTAGGCTAGTGTTAAAAGCAGTCAGGTAGGTCTATCGACGGGCATCGTACTCAAGGACAGCTACTACATGACACACCCTCAAAATGGTCGCAGTTTGTATAGGTTTAGACACCAAAACATCTTGGTTAGGTTTAAGAAAGATCATGGTTTGGGTTAAAAAACGCAAAACAAAAAAAGCATGTTAATTAATGTACATATTAGAATCATTTACTCGTCAATTTACTCAATAATGGCTATTGTATGTGTGCGGTAACACAGTCAGGCTCTGTTTAGTAGTACAGTAGCTACAGTTAGCAGCTAAGCTAGCTATATTTGTACTTAGCTGGCTCCATAGAAATGCAGTCAGACCTTCATTTTGCATCCATTGTAGCAGTTGCCACAGAAACGGAAGAGACAGTTGAACTAGCAACCCTTCAAAAGCATTGCTATTATTATTATTATGTTACTATTATGTTATTATATTAATAGTCAAATGTATGTTCTCATTAGTGTATAATCACCTGAAAATAATAATAATAATAATAATAATAATAATGAGCCATTTTAAAGTTGCCATGGGTCACGGTTTTTGCATGTTTCGCGGCCACCGTAGTTTCTCCCTCGCGGTTGGAAAGGGAAGGTGAAACGAGTGAGTCACAATCTGCAACTACACTGCTAGATGCCATTTAATCCTCTACACTGGACCTTTGATATACTTAAATATAGGCTTACTGCTATATCAGTAGACTATATTCAGACTTTCATTATTAGTAGTATTTTCTCTGTCTAGTGTCTCTAGATCTAGTTTCCTCCCAAATTACTCAAAACATCAACATATGTGTGCACATTGTTCCATATCTTGTAAGATTAAGTATGTAATCTTTCAAAACTTTTTATTTTCAATCTATTTTGTTTTGGGACAGACTTGCAGTGAGCCTCACCAACACAGAAACGCCTCGCTGTTGGTGCTATCAGACTCTTGTACACATTTTTGACAATCAAAGAGAGGCTTTCGCAATTTCTTTAACTTTTCTAATGAAAAAACAGCGGTTACTATCTGCATCAAACCAAACCCAAAGCAGACTCTCCTGGAGAAAAAAACACAGGATAAAACAAACAGATTTATTTGCAGCTCTGACATCAGAAACATTAAACGCATCACAGGTCATTTCATTCTCATTGTGTCAAACATGCTGACGGTGCAACAAACCCAACAAACACACACCGAAGAAACGTGTACAAACCGCAGGCATCAGAGAGAATTCACACACAGAGGATTTCCAAAAATAAAAAAGCTCTGAGAGGTACTTGGAGTGATAAGTTGTTTTGATATATCGGGCACAAAAACAACATCATGACGTCTGGTCTCTTTAGCCTCTGCTTTGTAATCTATAATCAGTAATGCATTAAAATACTCAGTAGCTCACAAACTTTACAGAGGATCAGACAGAAGAGTTAATAATAACAGGCACAACATGACTCTCCAAACAGTGTAAACTTTCAAAGTGAAGTCAAAAACTACCAAAACCATTTAAGACTTATTAAACAGATGCTTCAAGAAAAACATGACTCAATACAGCGAAAATAAATGTAATGTTGGTAGATGTCAGACACACCTGTGGCACAACTGAATACTGAATTTAAGCAAAAGGACATCAGAAGACAAATGTATTCTTAGAGTTCAATCAAAATTGAGAAAATATAATGAGCAACACAAAAGGAAGGGCTCAGATAAAAGCTGACAAATTGGTTCAAACGATTGTCACAATGAAAAGGCATTGGTACAACAAGTGCAGGAAAATGGTCGTCCATCTGGGTGAGGAGCACTGGGAATTTGGACTCCGAGAAAAGCAGCATTAACTTGACACAGTTGATGCTTTTTATTTTACCTACTTTTGTCCCCTTGCTTTATTTGATCTGAGCAGTTGGGTAGATCTTAAGAATTCATTTTCATTTTTCTTCTTCTGTAATTGCAAAATAAATGTACTAAAATTACTGGAGAAATAAGAATCTTTTTTTAATTCTGCATTTAAACCAATATGTGTTGCCAGTCACCCTCATCAACAAGGCTGTATTACATTTATATAAAACCATGTCATTATTTTCCCAAGTCACAATTTAACTGTTTTACCAAAAACATGGAAACTTAACAAAAACTAAGAAAAAGTGACACAACTTATTAGTGACTTTAAAGACATGTAGGAGACATTTAAAGCTGCACTAATCAATATTTTTATAGTAACATTGGATTGTGTTAAGCAAAAGGTGACACTCATAATAAACCTACCAAGAATTATGCAGCACGATACAGAGCTTTTTAGCCTCTTTCAGCTCATTGTTTTGGTTTTACGGCACATTTAACGTAAGGTTCAGTCTCATCAAACCCTTTTCCAGCAGCGGGCAGCTGATACACCCACTATACACTACCTGCCATAGATACCTAGCCATATATTTTTCTCATTAGCTGGTGGAGACCAAAACAGAGCTAAAGAGGATAGTAAATATTGGAATTATATTTATCAGATGGACACAAACTCTACTCCAATGGAACTTTATAAAGTTATAATATGTCAGGCTGTGTTTTCACCTTGTGCCAAGGCTCCTAAAGTTTTAATTTCAGTTACTGCAGCTTTGACTAAGTCCTAATGATACAATTCTACTAAAATATCACTTGCGTAACAGGACCTGTTTCATGGACTAAAGTTGGAGCAAAGAAAAAGAAGAAAAACCTGTGTTAGGAGGATTTCACAAAGCTGCTTCTGTAAGTTTAGAAGTATGTAACCTGTACATTATGATTGATAAAAGATCTAACACAGATCTGAACAAAAGAAAAGTGACACTGAAACGGAAACAGTGCAACCAAACCTATAGAGATACAGAATTTTATGGGAACATTATCAGAGTTATCCTGATAAGTAACTGTGAGAGGATGTTACAGTGTGAGCCATCTCCTTATGTCTTTATAATTAGCGAATTAACAGCAGTGAGTGTTTAATATGGCACAGGGATCAGCTGTTGGCAGACGACTCTGCTTGGCTCTTAAACAAAATACAGCACAAAATTAAAACACATTTTTCTCACTGTGAAGGCAGTTTCTCTGAGTGAACAGCAGAATGAGGTTTGGGTTTGTCGAAAGCAATCGCTCATTTTTGTCGTTTCCTTTTTTCATTTGGCACACTGGCAGATTAAATATAGGTGACAACAAGTTGAAGCCAAAGCTCTATGGTGCTTTAACTTATTTTTGTATGGATCCATAGAGCAAAATGCTAAAAATGTTACTGAAAAACATTCAGAATTTTATCATCTTTAAAATGACCACACCAGGCCATTAATAAGCCACACATGCAGTATACTTCATGTTACTGCTGACCCATTTGGCAGCCACTGGTTTCAGAACACTTTGAAAACCAACCTGCAGTAATCCTAATATTATGCAGCTGTGAGTTGGGACTAAACCCTCCCGTTGGCTCACTGAAGGACAAAATAAGGATTTAGCTGCCAGCAGGTGGCGAGCAAAAAGATAATTTCCCTTGTTTCTGGTGCACGTCAACTCGGCTCAAGATTTGTCATGAAGTAAGGCAGATCAAGGTGTTACTTGATATAATGAAAACTGTTGAGTTGCACTTAAAACAAAAGAGATCATCTCGGACTCAAAGCTGAGTTTTGACATTTAAATCAACAGATTTATTTTTCATTTTTTGTAAGTTTACCTCTAAATGGCTTCTAAAGACTTGTGTTTTTTGCTATGCTCAAGCGTAGCGTCACGGTACAAAACATGCAGCCTTTTAAACTGAACTCTTAAACTGAATTTCCTTTCAGTGTAACATGATTTCGTTAGGTTTTCTGCACAGCAACTGTTAATTGGTCTGGTATGCAATGAAAAAAACAATGTAGTGTTAAGCAACAAAACACAACTTTTGAGACACAAGAAAGTTGGTCCACAGTAACTTCAAGTGTTGAACCAAAGAAGTCCAGTTCAGAGCAAAGAGAAATAGTCTTAATCAATTTCTACTGTACTTCAAGAGTTTATAATAGTGTATTTTCTTCATGTTAGACACACTTGATTGATAAATTTGTCATTTTTGGGTTAATTTGACAATTGAGCTTAAGAGCACTATAGCAATGAAATAAATGGTGGAAATAATTTTCTCTTGATGGACGTTAAAAGTAAAAGGAAATGTGTGAGTGTGAGATATAAAGAACATAACAAAAATATGACAACGCAAATAATAATCTATGTTTTACATTTCTTTTAATATAAATAATTGGTCACTTTATATTCTAACAACACTGGTCATGTATGGGGCCTTAAAGGGATATTTCACTTTGTCTGATTATCTGTTATAAAGAGATGAGAGTTCAACATTTAAAACCAGCTGCCCTGAAAAGGCCTCGTCACCCAACGAACTGATATCTGGTATTTTTCCATTCGCAGAAAGGCCTATTTTCATGATAATGATTCTGATTAGACCTAATTATCTTCTATAGTTAATTGAACTTTTTTTCAATGCATTTATAATGACTTACAGTACATGTCATGTTTGTTCTATCTGTAATCTGTAAATAGCCATTAACTTTTTTAGATTGCATTTATTTCATTTTCCGCAAATGTTACGGTGACATTGCCTCCCCAGAGCAGCAGATATTTTTAGCTGACTTATCTCGAACTCTCACAGAGGTTAAAGTCTGTTCCGCCACAGTGGAATAACGCTTTAAAAGCCAAGGCAGTAGATCAGTTTGGAACAATACGTCTATTTAATAATATACAATGTAGGCTTTTTTTCACCATTTCACGTGTACCATGCTGTACCCATATTCGTCCTACAATATGAATGGTGTATTATCTGCTATCGGCCGGTCTGGCACCATCATTCAGGTCTAATGGAGAATAAGTAAACCAACCGGGCAGCTGACAGAGAGCTAGCTGAAGCACTAGCAAAATTACAAAGTATCTCATGTTATCAGTATAATGTAAAAGTGTCCACAGTACCCAAACAAAGCTACTTCTGATCAACCATATGGCACTCCTGTACGAAGGAACAAAAAAAGAGCGCAGCACGGTAAATTCCGTTAGCTAAACTCACCACATGCTAACGTAAAAGTCCGATAGAACGATGGAATTCAGAGAAAACCTTGAAGCACTGGCACAGAAAACAACAACTTAAACAAGATGTTGGTGGCGTGGTGAGAAGACTGATACAAAAGTATTGTGATAAGTTTTTCTCTATTTGATTTGTTTCTGTATGAAAGTTACTAAAACATTGCAAACCATCTTTACTAGAAACACAAATCAGCTGCTTTTGTTAATATTAGCCATTTGTAGCCACTGCTAACACTGCCGGGCTCTGGTGCCCTAAACGTTAGCTAGTTTGTAGATGGCTAGCTACAAAATGTGTTATACAGCAGGCTTGTGGAGTAATCAGGATACAAAGAAAAGGTAACTGTAAAGATGGGGATTATTTAGCAGGATTACAATTTTAAAATACGTTTTTCACACACATTTTGGATGCTAAAAATCTTTCCATTTGTTCAGTTTCCATTTTCTTTCCTAAGGTTACATTGTTTTGTTGTCTTATTGAATACACTTACATCGATACTTCTTATAGATTGTTTTTTTAAGGAGTGCTAACACAAATATTCAATTTAACATGTTGATCCAAAATATGATTTCAGCTTCTTCTGCTTTGTGTCGGGGGTATCTCCATCTTGTGTATTGTTATGTTTTGTTTTTAATAAAATATTTAATATAGGCCTAATATTCATCTGCACAGGTCATTGTTGATTAAAAATACATATCCTAAAGTTCGCTATAGACGCTAATAAGCTGACATTAGATTAACAAAAAACAGACACACAGCAATCTGAGACGGGTGTCAGAGACGTCCAATATGGCACCGTAGCTAACTGTATAACGTGGTGCATTTTTAACAAACGTCTAAAAACAGCTTGAAACACTGAAATATGACCATATGTGGCTAATATGGGTACAGCATTGAAAACAGTGTGAAACTGGGAAAACAATTCAAATAGAAACACATTGGTCACACAGTTGGTCAGCCTGGTCCAGGAGGAAAAGTTTCAGGAGAGGACCATGACTTAATTAACACAGACACACAGACTGACTCTTTATGGATTAGGATGTCTTCGAGTGACAGCCTAAACAGGAAGCAAAATGCTTCCCCTGTTATGAAGTGATGAAGAGATGAGACTTTAAATAGTTCAAATTCATTTTTTAAAGTCTCTTTTTGCCTGGTTAGATCAATTTAAATCATTCAAACCACTTGCAAGCAGAGGAATTGGGAGCGTGCAGAGCTTCATTCCCAGACTGCATGTTTTAACCGAGGCACATTCTGTGTCTGACAGTGATGAAACTGTCCCCTCCTGTTTTAATTTCCTCCTAAACAGAGCTCAAAGGCAGACAGGCTGAGACTGTATTACCTTGAAAATCCACTAGAGGGGGACAGAGTTGTTTCATTGCCAGACTGGCAGACAATTGGGTAAAGAGAGGAACAGAAAGAAAAGAGGAGCAGGAGATGGCTAAACTTTAGTTCTAGAGAGAAGAGAGTGACCAGGGGAAGATGAACAAACATGCAATCAAAGATGACAGAGAAAGTAAAAGAAGGAGGGAATGTGGCGAGTAGAAAGGACGGACGAACGGAGGAGCGCTGACTGGTCGTTTCCTGAATCGCCTCTTCATCTAGCATGCACATTTCTTCTCATTGGGCTGCTCCTCAGCAAGCTTCGTGGCCCCGTTCCCATTGGCTGGCTCGGCGGGCGGTTTGTCGACGCACTGCTCCATCCTCTTCATGACCAGGTCCAACAGCGTTATCACCGCCTTGTCCACCTCCGCTCCCGTCGCTGCACTCGTCTCAAAGTACGGTATTCTGTGAGGGACAAGAACAGAAATATCTATTCAAAAGCTCCGTAACAGGAGAAGGTTTTAGCCCACTACATAAGAACCATTTTACAAACAATCCCATCATTATTCGACTGATTCCAGTTCATTTCTATTAAAGTCATCTTGTAGAGAGTTGAAACTTCATGCAGACCATAACAGCAAGCAACAAGGGAAATGTGTTGCTTTATCAGAGCTATTATTGCGAGGTGGACATTTTTTCTGTTGTCTCAGACTTGCCTTAGTCTCGTGAATATTTTTTTCTGAAGTAACTTTCTCCATAAAGCAAAAGCATAGACGAAGCATGGTTGTTGAGAAAACAAGCTTTGGTTACCATGGCGTTGAATGTTAGGGCCCGTTTTGGATGGATTTTTCATTAAACCAGTCAATGTTACTTGCAATGACAAAAGCATTATATTTTTTGTCTCTGTCTTAACTCTGGCTCTCTTTGGACTCAAACCTCTTTGAACTAGGTCTTGACTTTTCCCCAGTCCTGGTCTTGGACTTGACAACGTTGGTTTTGGACTTAACAGGTGGTCTTGACTACAGCACTGGCTTACAGAGCCCAGCGTGGGGGTACATACAAAACCGTATTAATGGCTTGATAAATGGAGCAAAACGTTGATGCAAATATTCATCTGGCTTATGATTTTAAAGAAAAACAAGGGGGCAATGCTGTATTTCATTGTCGGACCAGCTAAATCATTAGCATCATATTGGCCATTGTTATTCCTCATTCATTGTTAAAGCACAAGTTGTATCTGAAATACCTCTTGATCATTACTTTATCCTCATATATTATGCATTAAAAACCAAATGGGACCTCCAGTACATTTTGAACAGTGCACAAAGACAGCCAAGCTAATCCTTTGGTTATTAATTCATTCACTCAGTTAAGCAATTCATTTTCTTAAGTTTGCTCATCAGTAATTTAATGGGGAGTTTTCTAAACATTCTCTTCTCACAACATATAATGTTATGCAGATAATGAACTTTTGTTAACTAATCGAGGTCAGGCACAGTGAAGTAAACCTGAAGGAGATAGTAAATCAATGTATAAGCTGATGGGTGGTTTGGAAAATGATCAGCAACAATCAATACGGTCCAAGGTTTGGAGTTCATGTACTAAAACTAGCAAAACTACCACAGGATCCTTTAAAATGCAGCCTCTTAGTCCTGAAACGAAAGGTTGAGTAACCAATCAGTCATCAGAATGACAAGTTTAATAACAGGTTATTTGAGTCATTTATGAGTAAGTAAAAATACCGAACTGTATTCCAGTTTACATAATTGTAAAGGATTACAAGATTTGCTGCTTTTCTCCATTTTTCCCTTTCTTTGTGTTGCGTTTTCACACTTTATTGACTCAACAACCGACTGATTAATACATCAAGCTCATCACCGTCGGACTTCGTCCGTGTTGTCTGCCACGGGAACTTTCCAGTGTTATCACCATCACTGTCTATATTCCTCACAGTGGTCTTCATCATCATCATCATCACTGTTTACATTTATGATGTCTTATTTATTCTCCTGTACAGCACTTTGGTCAACTTTGGTTGTTTTTAAAGTGCTTAACAAATAAAGTTGGATTGGATTGGATTGGATAACGATTGGTAGTAACATCTCTGTAAGTGTTGTGTTCTATCTTTAGTGTCACGTTTAAAGAAAAAATCTTTCTGAAATATTTATCATTTAAAAATACTGTAAACGATGAGTCATATTTGACAGTGGAAATAAGACTGAAGCTATCACTTTAAATGTGATGCAGATATATTTTAAATGTAACTTTTAACTGACAGTATCTGACCGTCATATTGTACCTATACGTCCCTGAGTTCCCCAGAGTTTAAGGCAGACTTTATTACTTCCTGGAACAGAGTTTTGTTGCCTGGCAACACCAGGCAGAGGTCTTGGCTGGCTGGAATGACACAAAGAAGCGTTTTTTAACTCGTCTAACAGGAAGTCATTTGTTGAGAAATTGCGAAATGTCAGTGTTGCACTGGAGTCATGTACTGTCTGTAATGTTGTTGTTTGTCTCACTGCTCGTCTTACAGCTAGCCTGCTCTTTATGAAATACTTATGTTCAGTCTCTCCAATATTATCGATACTCCTGTGATCCTTAAACACATCCCCACACACTGTACATGAAAATCAAACCTACCCGTATTTATCAGCCAGCTCCTTGGCCTGTTTCTCCTGAACCTCCCGCTGGTCGGCCAGGTCTGCCTTGTTTCCTACCAACACAATATCTGGATTCTCACAGTAGGCATTGGCCTGTAGCTGGCCTGGAAATGAATACAAACAGCAAAAAGGAGATGTTTAAGTGTAATACAGAAAAACTGTATCTCTGCACAGCTGAATGAACTTGATAAAAGTGAAAAACTCTGCCAATAGTTTCACTTACTGCTGTTTTATTTTATGCTTCCTTTGTATGCCCTTTACCAGGCATAAAACTACCTTAATTTTATGTGCAAATATAATGAAGACTTCACTGCCACTAGAGGCACTATAGAGCAATGTTTTGATAGCAAGATCAGAAGAAGACCTCAAAGCTAAAACAGTGCAGTTTCCAAACACGTAAAGAAATTGTGACATTAACAACATACTCATCCAGTTTCTGACGTTGAGGAAGCTCTGCTGGCTGGTGAGATCAAACATCAGCAGGAACCCCATGGCGTCCCTGAAGAACGCCGTTGTCAGGCTGCGGAACCTGGAACACACAGGAAATATGTATGCTTGATTGACAGGTTTCTCAGATCTTTCATTTCTTCTTTAAATATTCCCTCCAGACATGTTTTTGTGACACATAAAAATGATCTGCTTTGAATAATAATTTTCAACTGATGTCGTTTGTCATTTCAAATTCCTTAAAATTAAATTTTATCCTTCTCCTTCAGTGAAATATCCAGGAATATGCAAATATTTTTCCATTTTAAAAGTTTAACTGCTGGACAACAAGAAGTCTCCTTTCTCCTCCAAAAAGTCCATTCTCAGTGTATGCGCACTGGAGGTTTCAAGTTTCCATAACACACTTGTATAAGTTGCATGGACCAGGGTTGACTTTGAGACTAGGTGAATGAATGTGAAAACAGCCTTTTAGTGTCAAACTCTGCACAGTGGAGCTCATTCACAGAACAATCAGCAAAACCTGGTGTTGAGTGTAGGAGGACTGTTACAGTAATACTTTTCTACTTAAAGCTACAATCATTCATATTTTCACATTAACAAAGAAACAATTTGTTGTGAAAGGGGTCACTCTTTGTGACAAACCCACAGAAGTTGGTGGAGACCAAAACAGAGCTAAAAGAGAGTAACTTACATTTGTCAGGCAGACACAAAATGACTGCAAATGAATGATGATGTTGCTCTGCATTTGTTGGATGTGTAAACAGGCTACTGTTTGTTAACAAGTTTGCCAAATCAATTCAAGATCTGTCAGCGTAGTAAATGGTACATGGACTGTACTTATATAGTGCCTTTCAAGACTTCATTGTTGAAAATGTCGGTACATTATGAGTCAGTAATGTGACTTCCACAGTGAACTTGTATGTTCTGTGGCATGTTGGGCTTCTGGGTGTGACACCAGCAAGGAACATAACTCTGTATAAACATTACATGTGAAGCTTCATCAGCAAATATGTGACAGGCAAACACAGCAAACAGTCTGAAATACTGATCACACAGGTGGAATAATAGGCGCGCGATTAAAGGATCATGGATCAGTTTCTGGAAATAGGAATTTGTTCCGTTACACTGAGCAGAAGAAATGAAGTTAAAATTATGTTAGTAACACTGACTCATCCACCAATGATTCATCGGTCCTTTATAAACAGATTCAACACATCGAGGCCCGTTCCAATTAAAGACCACGCACATGCACTCTCACACATACATGATTGACACATATGGTATATCCAGGCAAAGAGGCACACACACGCACACACACACACAAACATAAATAATTGCCACTGATTTGTTTTTCCCTAGAACCATTCAGAGTGATTATACACACTCGATTTCAGCAATGAGCTTCATCTTTGAGTGGTTTGCCATCACCCCCACCATTTAACATGTATTACATTACAGCCACAATGTAATATGTGAAATTTTATAGCCAGAATGAGACGCATTATTGCCTGTCAATCAAGCAAAAGAAATAAAACATACTTTATTCCTGTAGAGACACTCGCTCGTTGTATTTCTTTAAGCAGCATCTATTGGCCACTAGAGGAGCTGCAGCTGAGTGCAGTACAGCTCTGTGTGCGTTAGTTTTGGAAAAAGAAATATGTGCAAGTGATTGTAAAACAAAATTGTAATTGTCATGATGGAAAGACGAGCCAGTCCCAGTGTGACGAGGAGCCAACCCACCTCTCCTGTCCGGCTGTGTCCCAGAGCTGAAGGTGAACCTTAAAGGTTTTCCCCGTGGTCGTCCCATTGGGGTTAGACGCTGTGTACACCTGAAGAGGAAGAAACAACACTTGTTTAGTTTTTATTTATCAGATACAATAAACTTGGTAATGTGTCTTTAATGGTCCAGTGTGTAACATTTAGGAGGATCTACTGGCAGGTATGGAATATATACATTAACCAAACACTGGCTCTAGATGGGTGTTCTCCGCACGATTTGCAGCCACTGTGGTTTCTCCTTACGCTTGGAAGGGGAGGATGAATTGAGTCAGTTGCAATCTGCAACTACACCGCTAGATGCCACTAAATCCTCCACACTGGTCCTTTAAGGAGAACTGGATACAGCTGACAGGAAATGATCCCATTAAGGGGCCACTGTACAGTTTCACGAGGCCCACCATTGGGTTGCAAAAGACGTTCCACCAAAATCATACAATGACATGTAAATAACAACCTATTCATTTCAATGACCCCTGCAGCATGTGGCCGGACAAAATCGAACAAAAAGAGTTTTACCTCACCCAGCGCGTGTCATCTGGCCACACACTACACTGACCAATCAAACAGAAGGGCAGGAAAGACTCTCGGTTCGTGTTTGTTGACAGGGTTTTATCTGATTATGTGAAGACATTGGAGTCAACTGAACAGTGTGTGTCCGGTCTGCAGCATTCAACATGGTGGACTCCATGCTGGGAAGCTAACACTAACTAGCCAGCTGTCTGTAGACATCAGGCTGATGTCAAGAGCCAGAAACAGCAGGAGCAGATGAATCAGTGTGCAGCTCTGTGCAGCGTTTTAGCATCAGCCAAGCCTTAAACTCAAGGATCTGTTACTGACAGGGAACTTCCAGGATCACATTTCATCATTTCACCAGGACCTGAAGCAACACGCCACCTGTTTTCAGAGTGTTAATCGCCCTCTCCACTGCTTTATTGTTGTGAATATCTCAGCAGGTCTGTGATCTGGACAGCGGTCCTGACTCTGTAACGATGAACTCCTGTGTGCTACAGCTGGCTGTGTTTCTGCAGGAAGCCTCGAGGCGTCATTCACACCTCTGACTCTCCCAGATGACACACACTGTCACTTTCTGCGACTTCCTTTTAAAGCTGCGTTCACACCGATCATGCTCAGAGCAGTTAGTTTGAATTCAGCGTGTTTTTGGTGAAATTTTCCAGGTGATAACAGACTTTCAAGTAAATTATGACACTTGTACATCTGACAGTGTGAGTCCACTACAGTGAGACCTGTGGAGCAGTTTGTTATTGGGGCTGAGGATTGCTGGATTACAGCACAAATGCCACAACTGCACATTTTTCCATACCCGTCTTTGCTGAATAAAATCGAATTTTTCTTAAAATTCGTCGAGGCGAGATTGCACAGTTGTCACACTAACAACCCAAACATCTAAGATGGCTTTAGTTTTTCAATCAGTCCTCAAACTAGAAAAGACAGAAACAACACTGCAAATATCCTTTTTAGGTGACTGAAATGCAGTACAAACTATTATTATTATTTTTATTATTATTATTATTGTTATTATCATCACTAGAAGTAGTATTAGTATAAATACACTATTTATAGGCTAGTAGTAGTTCTTAAAACAAAAAAACCCAAATAAAATACACCACAATAAAACAAGATAATTGGACCTGGAAAAATTAAACTAGGATTGACAATACAGAAGAAATATTATTAAAAAAAGGTAGGGGGGGTTAAAAGATGGTATTGATTCTGCATACCTTAGGTTTTCAGTAAGGGAATTACTACATACACATGCATAAACAGACACACACACACACACACACACACACACACACACACACACACACACACTCTAAGTTCTCACTTATTTGTATTTGTGTTTTTTAAGTCTACTTTTAATTTTCTACTTTATTTTAAGGTTGTTTTTCTTACTAATCTGTATATACATATATTTTACACTTGCTTTGGCCATGTAAATGTCTGCTTCCCATGCCAATTAAGCCCCTTTGAATTGAATTGAATTGAATTCCAAAGCTGAGAGGCCCTGACTGAAAAAGCCCCGTCATTTGAGCCGGCACTTAAGAGGGGAATCAGATGGAGAAAAAAACCTGGCATTAAGTGGTGCAGGGAGCTGCGTTGGTGGAGGTGTGTTGTTTTAGGCACCGGTGAGAAGTGAAATCTGATCCAGGAAGTTCAGTTTGCGTAATAGATGCGTGTGTTTGAAGATGTATTGTATTGCAGTTGCCAGTACTCACAGACAGAATTTTACTACTCTAGAAAGATTTTCCGACAATTGAGATACCTCTCAACTGTACAACAGTAGGAATAAGGCATTCATGTTGTGAAGTAATCCACCAGGAACATGTATTTGCGTTTATGTGATTGTGATTGTTTTGCCGGAGCCCACCTGCATTAGGACCCCCACTGTGTCACTAGACTGGCCTAATAAAGTCTTAAAATCATTGATTTGTTCACTATATTCAGCTGGATGTACAGCAGTTGTTTATTTGACAGTTTTGGAGAGGTGGACAGGTGCCAACTCTCCAAAGCTGTCAAATAAACAACCTCGTTGGGAGTCATGTGACTGGTCCACAAATTCTGGTTCAGTGGCTCAAACTGGTCCACAGTCAGCATTCAGCTTCCGTTTCCATAAAGACCCTGAGGAGGATCCACTGACATCACTGAGCTACAGCTGTGATCACACGTGTCCACTTCTGTTTGACTCTTGAAATGGGGTGTGATCTTAAGACACACACACACACACACACACACACACACACACACACACACACACACACACAGAGGAGGTGAGGAACAATAATCAATCCATGAGTCATCCAGAGCGATGGGATTAAAGCAACGTTGTCAGTATTTCTGACGCTCGAAGGCGGAATGGCACCCAAGTGAGCAAACCAAGCCTCGCCCACTCTCTGATTCAGACAGCTGCATCTTCCACTGAGACGTCTGGATGTATTTATACTGATCAGATTCCACCAGCAGGGGAACGTGTTTTGTCTCAGTGACAGTTTAAAGTGGTACTTCAACCAAAATCAATCCTTTGAGTACGAAACCTTCTATAGACTTGAAAGGCGGTTGTAAAGCGTCTTTTTATCTTGGACCGATTTCCTTTCTTTTTCCATTCATTACCACAGCAATCGTGATTTTAGAAACTCAAGCCACAGTTAATTCATCTCAGTTTATTGGTAGATCCGACCCAGGTTTGATCTCCCTGTACAAGTTAAAATAATGATTGTGAAAGCAACAGAAAATCCAGACCTGACCCGACCCACTATTTGTTCTTTGATAAGTACAGCCCAAAGAAAATACCTGGCCAAATGACACAGTAACTATGGTAACCAAGCCTGCATCACGTGAGCGTGTGGAGGCTGTCGTAGCAGAAAACTGACTGACTGGTTGAGACTGAGCACCAAACGAACTGGCCTTGATTCAAAAAGACCAACAGAAACATGCACACGTTTCCCTGCTTTTCTTCCTAAACATGATTAATATAAGGGATCAGAACTCACCACTCTCTTTTCCCTGAAGTCGATGCCAACTGTGGTGATGAACTTGGGGTTGAACTTGTTGTCTGTGTATCGGTACAGGAAGGTAGTCTTCCCCACGCCGGAGTCCCCCAGGGCAAGGAGCTTTATAAGGTAGTCATAATCCCCATCAGTCATAGTGATGACCGCAATAAACCTGTGGTGAACAGACAGAGACGCATGTTAACAAATAGACACACACAGAGAGCTTCTGGGCAAGCCTGTGTGTGTGAATAATAGCATGTGACATGGATAAAATAGAGGGAAAGAACATGGCATCAGAGTCCAAGAAGCTGAATAGAAAACATACTCAGTGATAGAATGGAGACGGATTGTGTCTGTGTGTGTTATACTACCCCCTGTTGAGTTATGGGACTGTGGTCAGAGGGTCGATCCGACCAGAACATGACTTTCTGGGAAAATTGTGACTGTGTGTATGTGTGTGTGTGTGTGTGTGTGTGTGTGTGTGTGTGTGTGTGTGCGTGCGTGCGTGCGTGCGTGCGTGTGTGTGGGAAAGAGAGTGTGCCTTTATATGTCTTAGTACGAGAAAGACAGAGAGTGCAAGAAAGTGTTAAAATGTAGTACACTGTAAGAAAACAGCACAGCATACAGACAAACTCATACCTTAGGTTCATTCATTTATATTATTCACAACAATAATCTAGTAAATTGTATTATTTAGAACAATGTCCTGAGGCTGGTGCTTGAGGAAAGGTAATGGATCATTAAAATCTAAAGCGGTTATCCTCTGGGGAGTAGGACTGTGATTAAGAAATTTAAAGATCCCCTCCAGACATGTATTACAACATATATATATTATTGCAGACTGTTTGTATGTATACAAACAGTCTGCAATAATGTTTTTTCCACAAAAAAGACTTAAAAGGGCATCTACTCCTTCTACCTCATTCAAAATTCAAGAATCTCTGAATATGCAAATATTGTCAATTTCTAAAGTTTTCCTGCTGGACACAAGACGTCTCCTACCATCTGTGAAGTCCATTCTCAGTGGATGTGCATTGGACATGTCTTTCTACATCACGCTGTACAAGTTGCATACTGGACCAGGACTGAATTCCAAACTATTTGTGATGTCACAAATCATGCTCGTAACCCCGTGCCCCTTAAAATCAGATTTCCACTTTCAGCAGATGAATGTGAAAACATCCTTCTAGAGTCAAACTCTGCACATACAGCATTCACACAGCTCACTGTAGGGGCAAGAAGAAACACTAATTAATGGTGCTAAAAGTCAGGGCAAGGGGTCACCATGGAAACCTGGCCTCTATCCATATTGTATCCTGCAACCAATGCACAAATTGCAATTTGATAAGTCAAAGATGCTAAACTTTTCAGAGAAAGTTCATCAGTGGCATCCACTTATTTTGGTTAACTGAGTAAGCAGAGACGGTATCTATAAAAAGGAAAGGAATGCAGTTTTCATGCGAAATTCTCGAAATAAATCTTCATGTATCTAATGATTTGTAGTCTGGGGTATGTTTGTCTCATGGCTAAATGTTGTATATTTAGAGAGAGGATCATAAGACTCTAATTTACTCAGCTGAGAGGAAACACATATAACACTGTGCTTTATTACAGTAAGAACAGTGGTTACCAGGAGCTCTGATCTCCTCACAACGCCCCTGTACCTCCAACAGTATGGAATCAGAGTGACCTATTCACTGACTGGACTGAAGCAAAACAGTACTACAGTAGAGTCAACTAGCACTCAATCCTTATTATATCTCTAACCACAGTTACGGTTCTCCTCCTGACACCCAGGAGAAAAAAGTGTTTTCATATTTTTTTCATGTCCTTTGTAATGGACACTGGGTCAGTGTTTTCCCCTTTCCACCTACATTTGACTTGAGAACCTTCTAAGATCCAGTTTGCTTTTCCAGGGGCTAAAGAGCCACCTTAGAGCCACGTCCTTACGCCAGTGTATATGTCTACAATGTTAGTTATTGTTACCAAGGTTACGCTAGCTGGCTACCTAGCTAGCTGTTGCTCTACTAACATTAACCAAGCAAGCGTTGTACTACTTCCTCATGTCGAATGTAACAATAAAGTTACAAACGTAACATTGATATGAGAAATGAGTATAATGCGCACTTCGGTAATGTTAGCTGACCAAAAGTTAGCTAGCAACATGTTGCCCTCAGCCCCGGTTGCAAGCAGTTCTTGGTTCTAGACCAGCAAAGTGTTTTCCTGGCCAAGAGCTGGTTCTTCTGCTGCCAAAACACAAATAACTGGTCCAAGGTTAGGCAGGTGGTAAAGGGGTCAGAAAGCACCGCAACCTGTCCTTTGCAGGTCTCCCAGAGGCCTGTTGGTCTCCTGTGGCAGCCACATCAGAGAAATGCGGGACAGTGCGGACAGTCCACGTCTTTGTGTGACTTGACACCGGATACAGGCCGATCGTACGGCCACACAGACCACAATCTTTTCTGCCTCACTCAGTGCTCTGTCTCCTGACGTTTGGAAAATGGTTGAGAAGAAATAAGTCCCACTGTCTTCCACAAAGGGTTTAAATGTGGATTTTAAAAAGGTCTAAAATCTTAATATAAGACTCATAAATAAAAACACAGCATTCCTATGAAGAAGAGAAGCGTTATATCTTTATAAATTTAATCACATATCTCCCTAACTGCCAAAAACATGTTTGCGACATTTCCTGCCTTTTTGAAAAGAAAGATAAATGAATCGCTTGTTCATCTAGAAGAAAAAGTAGTGGTGTGAATGCTAGAGCAGCTAGTTCGACACAAACGTTACACTTTTGGCTAAGATTTTTTCACTAGACACACTGAGGAGCAATTCAGTGTCTTGCTCAAAGACACTTTAACATGTGGACAGGAGGAGACAACCCTTGACCACACAAGCTACTGTACATATAAACCCAACCCAAACAGAGGAACGTGACACCGGAACATATTCTTGAGATTATTGCTAACATGACATGCTAAAGAGCTAATGTGCTGACATCCTAATCATTAGCATGTTACACTAACACACTGAATCTCTGCATTTTCCATGCTAACAGCATGTTAACATGTCAAAATAAATGTTTGAATGTACACATACCAAAATGCTATTGTTAGCATGGTAACATAGAAACATGCTAAATGCCGCACATGTCGTATCAGCTAGTTAGCATATGAAAAATAATACTTCCCAGTGAATGTTTGTCCTAACGTCTTTTTGTTATTTCGCATTCAAAACTCATAACAAACCAGACTTTGACAACATCGTCTCTGTGTCTGTGTCTTCCTGTGCAAGAAAATAACGAACTTAACTTCAGAAATGGTCCAGAGAATGTGGGTAATGTGTGTCTGTGAGAAAAAGGTCTTGGAAGGTCTAGAAAACGGTCCTTAGTTTCTTTTATTTGTTGGGACACTTTGGCACCACAAGACAGCAAACTGACAGATGTTGTTCTCACACATTTAGCATCCGTCAGTCCCGGCACTGATGGAGCCCTCTGGGGATGAGAAGTTGGGGGTGAGACAATGGGGAGAGGCTTATTGAACGGTCGCTACTGGTGCAAAACCAGAAATGTTTGTAGTGCGATCGGTCAGTTAGTCATGATTCCCTGAGGGTAAAACAGTCAACAGCTGCTTGGTCAGCTGACGGCAGAGAACAGAACAACTCACAGTCACCCTGACAACCCACAACAGCACAGAACAAAACAGAAAGAGAATAAAGTAAGGATTTAGTTCATAATGTGTGCTCTTTTTCTTAGTAGTGCTTGAGGGAGAAAGGAATTTTAAAATACTGTTTGATTTTGAATTCATTCCTAAACTCATAAAATAGATTTTTGTACATTAACCAATATCGCCCATGTCCAGCTGCAATTTCCTCCATGTTTGAATGCACTAAGTGAGTTTTCTAGGTGTTGCCAGGGCTGCCAGTGGGGCTGAGAACCCCTCAGGGTGGGCTGCTAGGTAAAATTAGCCCAGCAATGAATCCTACTTTTGTGGCGATTATAATGTTCAGTTTTTGTTATGCTTTTAAAGTTGCGGATGTAGGTGTACCTAACAATGGGGCAACTGAGTGCATAGCCTACCTAATAGGAGAAATATATACCAACTAATATAAAAATTGGTTCACAGCTTTGCCACACTAGTTTGTTCTCCCTGGTGTCTGCTAAACCTCCCATCTCAATAACAAGCAAGAACAAAACAATAAAACATACAGGGACATTAAAAATGTATGAGCCATCACCCACAATGGGAGAGAGGAGAAACAAATAGAAAGAGAGGAGAAAGGAAATGACAGTCTATAACAGTCCGGTCATGCTGCACAGAGAAGAGATGACTTGAGAGTTTGTATGAGGACACATCAGTGTGAGTGTCAACTATCAGAACGCGTATCAGGAAGTTGTGTTTTGTTCTTCCTCCTCTGTTATCCTTCACATCTCAGAGATAAAAAACCGATGTCACTGCTTTTAGCCACACTGACACATTGTTGTCCCCGTACTTTGACTATGCAAAGCAGACCTTTTTAGTTCACTGCTCTTTGTTATTTAATATTGGAGAGTTTATTTTGTATTACACATTACTACTGTAGCACATCTCTTTGATCACAAATAAGACTCTTCTTCGACACCTAAAGCATCAGATAAGAAACAGCATGTTTCTCCATATCTGCATCTTCATGATGTCAATGACGCAAAGAACGCTGACTGAGAACACGTCAAAATGCGGACTTCCTGTTCTCTGCTCTCACATGTTTATCTCATAGTGGTCTGATAAATACAAAAAAAGAAAAGCCGAAAGACACACTGGTTTTCTAAAGAAAGTACAAGCAACAAAAACCAGACTAAATGCTTATAGCCATGCTGATGTTAGCTGAGGTATCTTTTTCTGAGTCATGACCCACCCTACTCTGATTGGCTTACCCCAGTGTTGTAGTCAAGACCACTTTTGTTGTATCAAAGACCAGGACTAGTCGAGACCCAACCAAGACCAAGTCCAAAGAGGTTTGAGTCCATGTCAAGACTGAGTCCAAGTGAGAGAGACAGAGTTAAGACAGAAAAAAATGCTTTTGCCATTGCCAATGAGGTGAGTTTGGCAGCAAGGCATATACCTGAAAGCGACACGGGTACCCATGGTTAAGGCCCGTTAAATGTTTCCTTAACATTGAACAAGCACGCTTCAACCATGA